AATGGCGACAGGACAGAATCGGGCTGCCACAGGGCTGCTTGTTTCCCTGATAGCTGAGCCCTTGGTTTTCCTATTGATTCCGGGTCAAAACAGGCATTTTGTCTTGGGTTTTAGTCCATCTCTGCCAGCAGCCAGACTATTTTAGAATGGTGAAATGTATAATTTTCCCTTTAGAATAGGATTTTAGCACTTGGAAATTCCAGGGTCATGATTGGAAGAAGCCTTGAAAGTAAAAAGGCTGGGACCTGTGGCAGAAAAAGGGAGAAAAGGAGGAAGTAAAAGAGGAAAACAGACTTAGTCTCTAGAAGCCCATGGCTTTGCCTATTTGTCCACCATCTGGAATATAGTAAGTGCTCATTAAATATTTGCTGAATGAATCCAAAACATATAAACTCCCCATCCTTGTCGTTGCTTAATGTTAGAGCAAGTTATATATAGCTCTTTTGTGTTGATTCAGAGCCTGTGTACCATTTGAGATGGAAACGAGAAGCAAACAACTGCTTCCTAAGCATCAGCCAGGAAACCCAGGACTTAGTGGCTTCTTTCTGATCTCCATGTCTCTCATATGCTTCATTATTTCATACTTGTTGAAAGTGCATTTGTTTATCCAGCTAAGTAATCGGCAGCTCATAGGACTAATGGTATCACTTCTAAATTACCCCCCTCTGTAACACAGAGGGTTCCTAAGAAAGAATGCCTGGGGTTGGATTCTCCAGGTAGTCTGTGACTGACGCCCCATGACTCCTGTCCTTCATAAAGCTTACTGCTTTCCTGTTGGGCAGGAATAACTGAGATTTCTCCCAAGAATAACATCCAAACGTATGAAAAAGCTCCCAGGGCCACAAATGCAGATGCATCTAATTTAAGCATCCCTCAAAGAGTTTATTCTCACTCATGTTGGCATGTTGTTATTGCTACTCAAAGTTGTCATTTTTTATTTTTATCTCTTCCAATTATTTTAATTACCTGCTATAATAGTCCCACATACCAGAAATGTGCTAAAAACGCAAGAATGGTGAACAGGATGTCAAGTATATACCAGAAATATTTGTCAAACCCTGACCCAGCATGGGCAGAGCACTGGCTTTCTTCACAGACCTACACAGATGGGAGTGGAATCTGCAACTGCTCAATCCATCCACTGAGAAATCCCATAAAAGATGGACAATCCGTAACTGAAACCCAAACTTCGGCACAACGATCAAATTCTACATGCATAAAGCAAGAGCTCTGTGTGCCAGACCCATCTTAAAGCCACCCCACCCAGAAGACAGAGTCTGTCTCCTTCCCCTAAACAATGTGCAGAAACCACCTTGGTAAGTCAATACCTGTGGTTGACACAAATATTTCTTCTCCTCCTCTCTCAACTCAGGGAAGATCACAGTTCATCCCCTGATACCAGTAAGACAAAATAATAATGGCTTGTTTTGCAGAACTCAAACCTGTCGGCAGTTTGTATGGTGGCTTCTCTGATCTCCTTTCAAGGATGCTAACTGAATGAATATTTGCACAAGTTAGTTTGCCAAAGTTTCCTTAACATCAGATCCAATATCCTTATTACGTATTTCACCACAAAATAGTAAAAGAGAATGTAATAATAAAGTAATGATATAAAACGATACACCCCATACTGCAAAAAAAAATAGATTGAAGATATAATTCTACCACCCAAACAAAATCAAGGTAACTAACATCTTATTTATTTAATTTATTTTATTTTGTCATTTTAAAAATGTATGTTTCATCTTTTCCTGTGGATCTTGTGGTGGAGAGATAGATTGCACTCAGGTGCACAGAGTATTTAACTTAAAATGTTGCACCTTGCCTCCCCCTTTACCAGCATTTTCCTGAGCTTTTGCTGACGGCTGCAACATGTTGAATTTTTTTTATTCTTTTACATAAATACTGATAAGGTGTTCTTAGCTAATGACCTTTTCAATTGCCCTCTCCATAAACAACTGGTGTTTTGACCATCCAAGAACCATGAAAACCAACATAAGTGTTTGAAGGTGTGCTCAGTGCCAAGTAGACAAATTCGGATGGTCTGATTTTTTTTTTTTTTTTTTTTTTTTGAGATGGAGTTTTGCTCTTGTTGCCCAGGCTGGAGTGCAATGGCACGATCTCAGCTCACTGGAACCTCTGCCTCCCGGGTTCAAGTGATTCTCCTGCCTCAGCCTCCAAAGTAGCTGGGATTACAGGCATGGGCCACCATGTCCTGCAAATTTTGTAGTTTTAGTAAAGACGGGTTTTGTATTTTTAGTAAAGACGGGTTTTCACCATGTTGGTCAGGCTCGTCTTGAACTCCTGACCTAAGGTGATCCGCCCACCTCGGCCTCCCAAAGTGCTGGGATTACAGGCATGAGCCACCGCGCCTGGCTGATTTTTTAGTACATTTCAGAAATAACAGCCCACCCCAAAAAAGTTAAATGTTGATTATAATCCTTGACACATGATATGCCTTTTCTTTATTGAGACTTGAGATTCATCCATAGAATGAATAAGGGGTGTTTGATCATCTGCTTTTTTTATCAATTAAAAAGCTTATATGAAAGTAAAAACGCATATTTTCCCAAGACTGTGTTGTTACTTTTCCATCCCCTCTGCCTTCATCTTGCCTACATATCTGCCTTATGTTGCTCTAAACACCTTAGGGAACTTTGAGCAAGGCCTTGCCTGAGTATTTATTCTCTGAAAGGTTTTAGGAATTGGAGTATTAATGGGATCTTTATTGTTTTTCTCCTTAGGTATTTCATGGGTTCTCACTTAGGAAAATTGAGTTCTGTTCAGTGATGCCCCTTCTGCACTGGTTAGTTTCATGTGACAAAGAGAGCTCTAGGAAGGACTTTTGCTAGGGGAACGCAGGATTGTTCCAGCAAGATGGACCTGGATGGCCTGGGTGTTTTCTTCCCAGGGAGAGCAGAGGAGGCCCGGATTTGAACTCGAGTCTTATGACTTCGCCATTGAGGCAACATCCAAAATAAAAATAGCGTGCTAACCCCAAACAGTCCTCAGTTATAAAGCAGCTTTTTATTATAGAAGCCGGCGGTGACCTAACAAAATGAAAAGGAAAGGGCTTTGTAGGTCTCAGCCCTACATGAGGGTAGACTAAAGAGGGATCGGGAGAAACATCTGCAGCCCTAGGTCCCCGCGAACTTTTTTCTGGAGAGAATCTCCGGGAGCAATCTTCAGCATTCAAGCCTGAGCCAGAACTCTGGATAACCCTTAAGAAATCGGAGCTCCGGGAAGGAGGAGCTCCAAAGACCGCTGAGCTGGAAGGGAATGAGAACCCCAGGCTGTCTGAACGTCCCTGCTTCCTTCGCAGCCCGTTGGTGTCCCGCTCCCCGCTGCCTAAAGCTAAAACTAACTGTAGACCCCGCTCGCATTCCCATGGGGTGGGCGTGCCGGGAGGGTGCGGGAGTGACTGCTCCAAGACTCTAGGCGGCGTCACCCAGCCCTACCCTACCGGAGCTCCCAGAACCTCGCCAGGGTGCAGGAGGCCGGTTTGGGTTCGCGCAGAACTTAGGGGTTGGGGCTCCAAAAAGGCCGAGTCCCCCAGAAGGTATTTTCGGAGCGACTGGGAGAGCGGGGGAGAAGGTGCTTGAGTGCCGGAGCTGCCAGGTTGGGATCGCGGGGGTAAATGAGGACTTGGGTCGGTCCCGCGGGCCTGGCGGCCGACAGGGGGCACCCTGTCACTGTGGAAGCCCCGCCGAGCGCTCTCTGGTGTCCCTGACCCCGGCCACCGATAGAGCTGGGGTGGAGGTGGGGGCTTGCAAAGTCAGCTCCTTGGAAGGGTAGCACCCCCTCCTCCTGCGGCTCTCCAGCTCGCTCCTTCTGTTCCTGGAATAATTTCTGGGACCAAATTTTCAACCAGGAGCAAAAATAGAAAGGGGAGTGGGCACCCACATAAGCTCACAAACACTCTCATACGGCACACGCACAGACTAGGTCAAACATAACATTGAGTTTTGGGGGGTGTGTGTGTGTGTGTGTGTGTGTGTGTGTGTGTGTGTATCTGCCCTGGCCTGTGGAGAAAGCTTTTGAAAAATTGCTCACTCTTTGAGCTCCAATGCGTACTTCTCTTTCCCTGCCCTCGGTGGAGTGATGAAGTTGCTCCCATGCACGCGCTAGGTGGGATCCCGTGGGAAATGCTAGGGATCTAACCCCTCTGACTCTTCTGCGCACACCTCCACGTTCACTATGTAGCCGTACACACCATCAAGCCCCTTCCCTGGCGCACCGGGCTGACCTGCCCCTCGTGGGAGCCTTCAGCACTCTGGGGACCGATGGGCACGGCTTCCGCGGAGGTGCAGACCTTGAATTTGGGGGAGAATCCTGGCTCAGCGGGCTTATTAATGTCCTCATTATGAATTGTCCAAACTATCTGCATTTCAGCAGCAAAGGGTGCTGCTGGCGGCTTCCTCCTGTGGCCCAAACCCTGCGGACCTGAGAGTCCTCGGGTTGGGGAGGTGGTTCCCCTGTGCCTACTGCTCCCTGCTCTCTTGCCTTCCAGCCTCACCCTTACTCAAGCTTCAATGCGAAGCTCTGTGTCTGCCGTCTCGTCTGTCTTCTGCCACCATCGCCCCCAATTTTGGACAGGTGGGCTGGATGCATACTATTTCCTATGCGTTCTCTGTGTCTGAGGGTGTGGGTACAGGGCTGGATCCCCAAGGCCCAGCCAGTTTTTCAGAACCAAGAAAGAACCGCCACATCCAAACACCTGCAATATCCCCCCACTTCAAATCTGGGCTCACAGGCTAACCCAGAACAGAAGACAATTTTTGAACCCAAGAGCTGCAGGGGAAATAAAAGTATACGATTTCTGGAGTTTCCAATTTTTATAAAGCAGTCCCTCTGGAAGACAGAGAGGACAGAGACCCTCTTGAAGTCAACTCCATATGCCCCATCATTGATTCCTGGATTCTTCCCTCCTTACCCCTCCCTCCCCACCTCCTGCCCTGTTTGTTTTAGTTACGAAATGCTGTGGGCACCTCGGTTGTGACTGAAAAGTAACCTTGAAACACGCCGGCCTGAATATCAGAGACCTATCTCAGCCTCCCAACCGTCGGCCGCTGCTGGAGGGGCTGCTTGCGCCAGGCGCCGGCCGCCCCACTGCGGGTCGCTGGCTGCCGGGCTCTGAGGAGGCCGAGAGCCCAGGCGGCCGGACCGTGCGCCCGGCGCGTCTCCCGAGGCCGTTCCGGGTCTGAACTCTAACAAGGAGGGGCCTCGCAGGAGCAGCGGCGGGCGAGTTAAAGGTGTGTACACAGTTTTTCTAAATAGGACAGCACTTTGCAAATTGGCTGTCATGGGCTTGCTGTTTTGACAGAGAATGAGCACTGAGAGCGAAGAAACCCGGCATAAATAAATCCGGCTTTCATAGGGATCTGCGGGGCACTGAGGCCGCACGCGGGCTCCGACAGGCGCACCGGGCGCCACGGCGCGATGGAACGGGGCGGGGGCCTGAGGCCAGAGCCGCCCCCGAGGGTGGTCTCCTCCCAGGTCCCTCCTTCCTCAGGGGACTCGCCGTAGACCCGGGAGGAAAGGGGGCTCGACCAGGGATCCCGTGTGCCCGATCGTCCGCCCGGCCCGCTCCCCTGGCCCGCCCAGGAGTGCGGGGCGCCGCGGCGGTGGGGCGGGCGGCAGGCGCGGAGGGGCAGGTGCCGAGCGCCGGCTGCGGCTCCCTCTCACCTAGGTGTGAGCTGATTATTCAAATGGGCTGCCCCGGGTCTGGGGATTGGAGGCCCGCGCCAGCGCGCCGCGCTATATCACCAGCCGCCCACGTCACTGCGGCACTTGTCGGCTCCGCGGTCCACACCTCCTCCTCCTCCTCCTCCTCCTCCTACACCACCACCATCACCTCCTCCTCCTCCTTCCTCCTCCTCCTCCTCCCCACCCCACCTCCCCCCCAACCAGCCCCCGCGCCGCGCGCTTCCCGCCGCCTCGGGGCAGCTCTGCACTGCCAACCTCAGCCGCCACCCGGCAGCCCGTGAGCGCGGCGGCGGCGGCGGGCGCTCCCTGCCGCGGGGCGCTGGCCGGGGCCTCCTCCGCTCCTCGCCCCCCCCACTCCCGCCCACTTCCAACTACCGCCTCCGGCCGGCCCAGGGAGAGAGAGGGAGTGGAGCCCAGGGAGAGGGAGAGCGAGAGAGGGAGGGAGGAGGGGACGGTGCCTTGGCTGACTTTTTTTAAAAGAGGGTGGGGGTGGGGGGTGATTACTGGTCGTTTGTTGTGGCTGTTAAATTTTAAACTGCCATGCACTCGGCTTCCAGTATGCTGGGAGCGGTGAAGATGGAAGGGCACGAGCCGTCCGACTGGAGCAGCTACTATGCCGAGCCCGAGGTAAGCGCTCGTCTTTTCCAGGGGGAAGTGGAGCGGCGGCGCTCGCTCCTTCCCCAACCTCAGGACCGCTTCCCTCGCTGACACCCCTCCACCCCCGCCCCACAACCCCAGCCTTTCTGGGCAGCCGCCTTTTCCGCCCTCCTTGGAATCAAATGGGTCTCTTTTTTATACGACACACTGTTAGCCTTGAGATAATATTAACTTTGTGATCAAATATTGACTTGCGGCGCCTCCAAATCCTCTTCGTGGCCGAGCCACGCACTATCCTAACAGAGTTATGTTTGGCAGCGTGCGGCTGGGGAGGGGTGGGAGGTCGGCCGGCGAGGGGGTGGGGAGCTGAGAAGGAGAAGATGGGTAGGAGTTGGGGGCTGAAGTGGAGGCAGAGTCAAAGACTAGTGGACAAAGAGAAAGAAAGTTTGTGCCTGCAAAGCTCAGCCGCGTGTAGTTTAGGTCTCGGTTCCTTCCCTATTGCCCCATTCAGTGCCTCTGGCAGCCCCCGCACTCCGCACAGGCGCTGCCTTTTGGATTCCCTGGAACAAGGGAGGGGGTCCCGGGAGGGAGACGGGACAGAGGGGATCAGGGACAGTCTTCACTGGAGGCAGCCTGAGGCGCCCCGCGAGGTGTCCCGCAGGTTGTTTGCTGCGACCGAAGGTGGCGTCCGGGGACTTCGGGCCTCGGCGCCAGCTCAGTATGCTGTTAGGAGAGTTTGGGGAGACTCTGGGGCAGGGAAATGCATTTGGGGTTCTGGTTTGGGAGTACTCCATGGGACCCCTGTTCTAGAATCTGGGCGAGGTGGAGAAGGGCTAGGAACGGGCCACATACCCAAGCAGCAATCCGCTCTCCACCTTCCCAAGGGTAATCGATCATGGCTCTCCCTGGATGAAACAGACAAGGAGTCCGGAAACGGGGCCACAAGGGAGGAAAGGGCTCCCCGGAGGCCTCCTCGGAGGTAGAGGCCTGGGCGGTGGGTGGGAGATCTGGGCACCCTCGAGCCGCGGTGCTAACGCTGTCGCCTCCCTCCCGGGGCTCTGTCCGCAGGGCTACTCCTCCGTGAGCAACATGAACGCCGGCCTGGGGATGAACGGCATGAACACGTACATGAGCATGTCGGCGGCCGCCATGGGCAGCGGCTCGGGCAACATGAGCGCGGGCTCCATGAACATGTCGTCGTACGTGGGCACAGGCATGAGCCCGTCCCTGGCGGGCATGTCCCCCGGCGCGGGCGCCATGGCGGGCATGGGCGCCTCGGCCGGGGCGGCCGGCGTGGCGGGCATGGGACCGCACTTGAGTCCCAGCCTGAGCCCGCTCGGGGGGCAGGCGGCCGGGGCCATGGGCGGCCTGGCCCCCTACGCCAACATGAACTCCATGAGCCCCATGTACGGGCAGGCGGGCCTGAGCCGCGCGCGCGACCCCAAGACCTACCGGCGCAGCTACACGCACGCAAAGCCTCCCTACTCGTACATCTCGCTCATCACCATGGCCATCCAGCAGAGCCCCAACAAGATGCTGACACTGAGCGAGATCTACCAGTGGATCATGGACCTCTTCCCCTTCTACCGGCAGAACCAGCAGCGCTGGCAGAACTCCATCCGCCACTCGCTCTCCTTCAACGACTGCTTCCTGAAGGTGCCCCGCTCTCCGGACAAGCCCGGCAAGGGCTCCTTCTGGACCCTGCACCCTGACTCGGGCAACATGTTCGAGAACGGCTGCTACCTGCGCCGCCAGAAGCGCTTCAAGTGTGAGAAGCAGCTGGCGCTGAAGGAGGCCGCAGGCGCCGCGGGCAGCGGCAAGAAGGCGGCCGCCGGGGCCCAGGCCTCGCAGGCTCAACTCGGGGAGGCCGCGGGGCCGGCCTCCGAGACTCCGGCTGGCACCGAGTCGCCTCACTCGAGCGCCTCCCCGTGCCAGGAGCACAAGCGAGGGGGCCTGGGAGAGATGAAGGGGACGCCTGCTGCAGCACTGAGCCCCCCAGAGCCGGCGCCCTCTCCCGGGCAGCAGCAGCAGGCCGCGGCCCACCTGCTGGGCCCGCCCCACCACCCAGGCCTGCCGCCTGAGGCCCACCTGAAGCCGGAGCACCACTACGCCTTCAACCACCCGTTCTCCATCAACAACCTCATGTCCTCGGAGCAGCAGCACCACCACAGCCACCACCACCACCAACCCCACAAAATGGACCTCAAGGCCTACGAACAGGTGATGCACTACCCCGGCTACGGTTCCCCCATGCCTGGCAGCTTGGCCATGGGCCCGGTCACGAACAAAACGGGCCTGGACGCTTCGCCCCTGGCCGCAGATACCTCTTACTACCAGGGGGTGTACTCCCGGCCCATTATGAACTCCTCTTAAGAAGACGACGGCTTCAGGCCCGGATGACTCTGGCAGCCCGGATCCAGGATAAGCGAGAGAGCAAGTGGGGGTCGAGACTTTGGGGAGACGGTGTTGCAGAGACTAAAAGGAGAAGAAATCAATAACAACCCCACCCCAACACCCCCAAGACAGCAGTCTCCCCTCACCCACTGCAGCCCTTTTGTCCCAAACAGAGGGTCACACTTGATGCCCCCGAGGAAAACAGGAAAGAATATAAAATCAAAAAAAAAAAAAAAAAAAAAGCCTCCGGTTGCCACTACTGTGTAAAGACTCCTGCTTCTTCAAGCACCTGCAGATTCTGATTTTTGTTGTTGTTGTTCTCCTCCATTGCTGTTGTTGCAGGGAAGTCTTACTTAAAAAAAAAAAAAAAAAGAAAGAAAAAAAACTTTTGTGAGTGACTCGGTGTAAAACCATGTAGTTTTAACAGAACCAGAGGGTTGTACTATTGTTTAAAAACAGGAAAAAAATAATGTAAGGGTCTGTTGTAAATGACCAAGAAAAAGAAAAAAATGCATTCCCAATCTTGACACGGTGAAATCCAGGTCTCGGGTCTGATTAATTTATGGTTTCTGCGTGCTTTATTTATGGCTTATAAATGTGTATTCTGGCTGCAAGGGCCAGAGTTCCACATGTCTATATTAAAGTGTTATACCCGGTTTCATCCCTTGAATCTTTTCTTCCAGATTTTTCTTTTCTTCACTTGGCTCAAAAAATATACAAACTTGGAAATTATTTCAAGAAGGAGGGAGGGATACCCTGACTGGTTGCAGGTTGTATTTTATTTTGGTCCAGGGAGTGTTGCTGTTTTCCCAACAGTTTATTTTTAAAATTTTCAGACACACAGAAATTGAATGAATTTTACAGTAGGCACACATGGACCCTGCTCCCGAAATTCTGCAATTAACATTTCATTATATTTGCTTTATCACATACTTGTCCATCCTCCCCTCCATTGGTCAATCCATCTTATTTCTCTAAATCCACTTCAAATTTGCAGATACCAGTATACATCCCCCTAAACACTAAAGCAAGCACATTATTAAATGGAACTCATATGGTCTATGGTTACTTTTTGCATTTGTGGGTTAACTTTACACACTATGAAATACACAGATCCCAGGCAGACCATTCCAGTAGGTTTATTTTTAACGCCAGTAGAAGATAACTCTCCACATATCACTATTTCCCACCTTGACTGTTTGAATGTGCCGTGTTGTTGCGGTCTCTTGGGCCCCACAGCTGGCTTCTCTTGGGGGAAGCCTGGATTTCATGTTTTTGCTGTACTTCCGATCTTGGGCCTCCCTTCAGGTCAGTGAGCCTGGATCAAACTTGCAAATTTGTGGTGCAGCACTTTGCCTGTTCACCACTGTGAATAGTGGTGGAATTGGGACTCTGCTTGGATCTTCCAACCTCCTCTGTATACAGGCCGCCACCCTTTCCCACCCTTCTCCCCACGCAGGTATTGCGCACAACAATGGCAGACCTTGCTAACCCAGAAAGACCTTGCTAACCCAGAAATGGCAAGACACTTGGTGTAGGGAAACAGAAGACCTTATCCTGGAATTGGTTTGAAAGGATAAATCAGGGTAACAATCCAAGTCTGTTTTTTAAAAAATAGGGTATATTTGGGAGTGAGGAGGAGGTAAGGGGTGTCTGTCCAATCGACCATGACAGTAGTGGAGATGCCACTGTCGGCAAATTTGCTCCCCATCTCCCTCCAAAACTCGCCCTTGCAAAGCTTCTTGTAAGTTAGGTAAGGTTAGCAATCCAGGTTTGCAGGGCCCAGGGGATATGCAGGTATTTTGTGAGCCTTCGAGGACTCTCTAAAATATAACGAAAAATCCCAGAATGAATTCTTATACACCATGCTGCCTCTTCCCACAGACGACCTCGCTGGCCTAAAAGGGCGGCCAACGGCAGTGAAAACCAAGCCCGAGAGCGCAAAGAAGAGCCTGGTGCTGGTTTTGCCCAGGACATCTGCTGGCTGGGCGAGGGCAGGATCAGTGTCGTAGAGGGTTCGGCAGACTCGGGAGCCACTCCCGTGCGCAGTTAGCTTGCGGTGGGTAAAAACACTCTGAAAGCCTGGAGGACTTTCTGCCTCAGGTTTCTAAGTTCAGGCTCCTTTCTTCAAGATTAGATCTTTGGGCTTCTTGGCCATCCAAACCTGGAGTGTCCCAGCTACGCCCCAGACCTGGAGACTGGCTTTGCTTGCTACCTTGCTGGGGTCTTTGCCACCCCATCCCCCACCCCGCCGTCATCCCCAACAAGCCTGGCCTTCCCACGCGCTTGAGGGGGGTTTGGCATTGCCTCCGCTTCCCCCCCACCCCACTGCCCCCCTCCCGCCTCCAAATCCCTTTCTTAACATGCCACATTGTCCCAAAGAACACAAGGAAGAGAAATTGGGGAGGGGGGGATCCGGAGGCCACAGCCAGCAATCAGGCCGTCTCTCCCCCTAGCAAGGACACACACGTCGTGAGCCCGGCCTGAAATGTGTTTCATTATCACATAAAAGGCTCCCGTGGCGAAGGAGCCGAGAGGCAGGGCCGGGGGCTGAGTGGGGGACAATGGAGGCTGAAAGCGCTGCCCTAACCTGCTATGTTTCGTATGGCACGCCCATTGTGCGAGGGTCGTTTTAAACTACTTAGCGCGCCCCCCTTCACTGATCCCGGCCGATAAGATATAGTTCTGTCCGAATACATAAAAAGGATGTCGGGGAGCAGGCGCTTTCGGAGGCTTTTCTGGGCTTCTTGTGTCTTTCACGCCCCCCTCCCGCTTAAATCCCTCCCCTAGCCCGGGTTCCGAGCTTACGAGCTCACAAATCGCCTCTGCGCGCTTTCCCCAACTCTACGCATTGTGGGGTGCAGAGGCTCTCCCCCCTCCTTTTTTTCCTTTTTTCCCTACGCCTTCCGCGCGCCGGTTTAAGCAACCATGATCTGTGAATAAACAAAGTCTGTAAACAACTGAAAAAAACATTCTAGATCCGAATTCCAGGAGGGTAAACTTTCCATGCCACGTCACACTTCAGCAAATTTGCACAGATATTATATTGCCTCCCCCTCCTTTATTATTCTTTTTTTTTTTTTTGCCAGGATCCTATTGTACTTAACTGAATTTTATAACGCTGATCGATATCTTGGTAAAATATTCATTTTTAAACTAGCGGGCAGTGAAATCTTTGCTTTGTGTGCTAAAGTCAACAGTCGCTTGGTTTGAGCTCAAATAAATGCGGGGATGCCTCGGCTCGGAGCAGTCTTCCTCCTCCCTCCGCGCGCTGGACGCTCCGCGGCCAGCCCGCCCGCCTGCCTGCCCGCCGGCCGCCGCAGGTAGGGAGCGCGCCCACCCGAGGGCTGCGCCCGGCTCCCCTCCTCGCCGTCCGCACCCCACTCCTGTCCGCGCACTGCCCCTCCCCCAGCCAGTCCTTCTCCCTTCCAGACTCCGGGGCGGGCTTGGCTGGTGGTAAGCTCAGCCAACGGAGACTCAAGGGGTTGGGTTTTTTTTTTGCAGGGGGTTCCGAAAGTGCATGACTTGGAAGGATGAGGGGTCGCAGAGTTGCGAACTCAGACCGCTTTGGCTCTGAGCTCAGAGCAGTTTGGTAGGGCCCAGAGGAAGCCACACAGGCCCCTCGAAGAGCTCGGGTCTGGGGATTTGATCTGAGAGCAGCGTGTTTCCGGAGAAGAGTGGAGGGTGGAGTGTGGGGAACCCCCTTGGCCTCAGAATCTAGGGTGGGGGTCAGCAGAAAACGATGTGCGTGGTGCATGGGAGTCTGAAGAGGCTGAGGCACGAGCGTGGTGACGCCCTCCCCTTGGCGTGCAGGGGTTTGAGTCCAGTCTCAACTCTTTCTCGGACACCGGCAGGCCGAGGAGACGGTGGGGGGTCGGCATCAAACAGCAGCAGGGGAGGGGCCGCGCCTTTCCAAGATGCGAGTGAACCTCAGCTCTGACGGCAGGAAGCGGCTGGTGGCCTTTGCGCACCGGTGTGCTTGGCTGCAAGCAGGTTGGGGAGCCTCTGGGGTTACGAGCTGGGTCCAGGAGAGAAAGTCAGAAAGCAGACGCGGGGCCATTTATCATCCCATTCTCCCTGCAACCCAGTCGCCGATTTCCCCTCTTCCACGGGCAGGAGCACGCTTGCGCATGCCGGGCTTGCCCTCTGCGGTTCCGGAGGACGCGAGTTCGTAGGACACAACAGAACCAGCCACGTCTTTCCTCCGCCTGCGGAAAGGCGTGGACCTCGGAAAAATAGTAGTTCTGCTGCTGCCCCTTGAAACCTCAGGACTCTCGGTTTTCAAGAGCAGGGCATGATAAAGGTGTGTTTCCGCAGGTGTCCACCAGCACCCCCCATCCCCGCCCCCACGCCAGATCCACAATCTACCTGGGGTCTTTACTTTAAACGCCTGGGTAGTAGGCACTGTGACAGGCCCGTGCCTGACTCGGTTACTCTGGGTTTTGGTCTGACGCGACAGGGAACTGGTACATGGAAATTGCCCACCACCCCGACCGGAAAGCTTTTCCCATGTGCGCCGCAGTCACCAGACTTCGAGCCCAAGTGGGCAGAAATCTGTTTCGTTGTTAAGCAGGGTCAGTGTTATGTAGTCACCTTCCTGTGTGGGGACCCTGGGTGGCCCCTCCTCTCTTTCCCTGGTGCCTTGGGCTGTGCGCCCGTATCCACCGCACCCGAAGCCTGCTGGGGAGCGCGCCCGCCGCCCTTCCAGCCCCGGCTCGCCTCGCGTGGCTGGTTATCTTCCCTGAACATGATGGAACGCCTGCAGGACACACGACAAGGCTAATCGTTTTTAAATAATTAATGCCTCCCGTTCCGCTGGTAATGCGCGGCGTCGAATCCGTCAATTACTTGTCATTAGACGGGTGTCGCCCCACGGCCTTCCCTCGGGCCTTTGATGGCCCTGGGTCCCCTCGCCCAGGCCACTCCACGGCCGAATTCAAAGGTGCCGTGCCTTTGAGAGTCGGGTACGGAGTAGCCATGACCCTTAATTCAGTGCGAGTTTTGAAAGAAAGACCCTCGCTGAAGAGATGTAATCTTCCAAATGGCCAATTTAAACGCCAGATCTTTATCGCCCGCCTTCTCCCCGGCTTCATAAAGAGAAGCCGCTCCTCAATGCTTTGGGGGCCTTTTAATGTGGGAGTGGGGCGAGGAGAAGCAAGAGATAAGGCTCAAGGCTCAATAGGGCAAAGTAGGAGACGTTAGCCCGAGGAGGTACCTGAAGTTACCTGGGGGCAACACGTTTTCTTCCGGGCAGTGCATGCTTCTACACATCCGGGGGTCTGGAGGTGGCCCTGGCTTGGAGGGAGGGGTAGCCCGAGATGAGATTTGGAATGTGCAGACACCAGTTAATGTTTCAAAAAAGCAGTAAGGCCTTTTCTGACTATGCACCTTCACCCTGCAAGAGAAGGCAGGAAAGGAAACATTTTCCTCCCAAACACCGCGAACCTGGAGTTGCAAGCAGTTGGTTCTGGCTAATGTCGGCAAAGTAGTACACATCAAGTCCTGCCGTACAGAATAGACCACCTCCACTCCCACGCACACCCTAGAGCCATTAGCTCTAGTTTGTTGTCCCTGCTGTAGCAAAAGAACAAGGTTTCAGACCTGAAATCCTTTGCTGGGTGGGGGACAGTATGGACACCAACCCTGGCGGCGGCACCATGGCAACCAGGC